CCCCCCCCCCCCTTGCACCACCAGGACATCATAAATGTCCCTTCATGCTGGTGAGACCTGGTTCCTCTGTGGCGACTGACTTGGGGAAGGCCGGGCACAAGGATGCCTGGGTCTTCTGCCCCCACAAGCCTGGGCTGCCCTCAGCCCTCAATGCAAGCAGAAAGGCATCAGGTGCAGGTGATGGGGTGTAAGCATGGATTCAAACCCAGAAGGCACAGACCACTGGTGGGAGACACAGCCCCTAGGCATGGCTTTGGGCAAGATGCTTGCTTCTGTGCCTCAGTTTCCCCACTGGGAGATGGGCACCTCCATTTGAAGAGGTAATGCGAGGGTTGAGCGATGCCTGTAAACCCCTTTCTTGTCTTCGGAGAGCCGAGCTCTGCTGCTGACAGCAGCTGCAAGCAGAGGTCATGAAGGCAGCCCGATTGCGAGACAAATCCCTTCCAGCACCTGAGTGTGGCTCGGACCCCCACTCCCGGGCAGAGCACCTATCCCTCCCCTGGCTTTCCCTGAGAACTAATTTCCATCCCTAAATAGGAGGAACCGGGTGAGGTAGGGATGGACATGGCTGGGAGGAAGATGCTTTGGGGCCAATTGCATGGACAAGGGAGGCAGCTTTGCTTCTTACTGGACTTCAGCAGGGCCAGGACCCTGGATCAACACAGAAGTCATCCTTACCCCATGCAGTAAGCGGCGGTCAGCACCCAGTCTGGCTCCACCAGGATTCCCCCACAGAAAGAGCCACGAAACCATGTGTTGGGCTCACCTGAATAATCTATAACGCACCCGTTGCAAAATGCATGTCTCAGCAGACTGAGACCTGTAGAGATGACACGATTCACATGCATGGAGTTGGCATGGATCTTGGGCACCAGTAGCTCAACGGGTTTGGATGGCTTGGCAGCCTGGGGCGTAGGGGGAATGTTATGCTTGTAGCTTTGAGTTGAAGGCAATGATAAGCATCAGCAAACGAGTGCCTGGTGCTGTTTCCGATCTTACATGTTTTCCATTCGGAGGGCCCTGCAAGGGGCGGGGGGGCACTTGCCCCAACCTTCCCAGTGCGTCTTGTCGCCTTCTCACCCCCTGGCTAGTTGATCAAGAGGTTTTAAATGCAAGCGTGTCCCTAAGATGTTTGCTGGTTGCCACATGGGGCCAGGGAGGAATTTCCCCCCGCTCCTGTTGCTACGCATTGGTGGGGTTTTCTCGCCTTCTTCAGCAGCCCATGTGCTGCAGGTGGGACCTGGGGTGCGCCAGTGCTCCCGCTGGGACTCGAACCCAGAGGTGCCTGTTTGGAGAGTCTTGCCTGAATGCTCAGGGTCACATTTAGGATCAGGGTGGGGTGGTCAGATCCGTAAGGACTGTGGGGGCTTTGCCTTCCTCTAGCAGGAGGCACGGCCCTCTTCCTTGCATCTCTCCAGGGCATTTTAACAACGCTGGCACTCGCCTCCCTGCTTTCCCTTGGCAGGCTAGGATGCTTCAGCGTCTTGGGGCAACATGCCTGGTAGCTGTACAACAGGGTGGATTGTGTAGTTTTAGGAATAGGCAAGATGCAGGTGGGGATAATCCTGCCTTGAGCAGGGGACTGGATTAGGTGACCTCCAGAGGACACTGCTGGTTCAGCTTTTCTACGACTCTCTGAATGTGAGAGTCCCTCTCAGTCCCGTGAGCTGGTCCCAGGGAACAGGGGGCAGATCTGATCCAAAATGGCTCTAAGCCACTGACTCATCTCCAGCTTCGGTCAGAAACATCCACTTCTGGGGAAGTAGCAAGAAACCCCCGACTATTAAATAAATGATCACACCGCAAAGGTAGCTGCTTCCGGTTCCTCCTGGTTACACTCTGACTTTCTACATACAAGCAGCGATTCTGGTGCCAGCTCTCCAGTGCAGCAAGGGATGTCCTGACGGGGCAGGGCCCCTGCATTCAAACACTGCCGACAGCAGGAGGGCATTGCCTGGGCTCCCACTGACCAGGCCTCGGTCTTCGTTGGCAAAGGGTGTTCACCCCAAGCTTGCCATGCCCAGCGACACTGTGCTTGGGTATGCTATCCTATCCTGCCCCAGAAGCTGGGTGGCTGACGGAGCTAATTAGCACCCTTTCCCTGCCGCTGGATGGGGGATGCCCGGGTCCTTCTCAGCCTGGGTGTGGAAGAGGGAAAGATACCCTGCTCACATCAGGGGCCAAGTGTTGCTCATCAACTCGTGCTCATCCCCAGGGAACCCAAAGGTGTTGCACCGCTGCAGCCCTGAGCAGACTCTGGCTTTACCTGGGAGGCTGCCCAGTGGCTCCTCCAAAGGAGAGGCAGGAGAGCAAAGCAGGTGCATTTATTTGTCAGGCTTGTTACAGTTGTTACAGCAGCAGGAGTGAGCACATGGGGTGAGGGAAGAGACCCGAATGGGCCGAGGCAAAAATCTCCACTTCTGCTTTGAGAATCTAGTGCCAGCTCCAGCACCGGCTTCCTGGACCCAGCTGACACTGGCGGAAACTGAGGGCTGGAGGGAGGTCTCCCATGGAGAGATCTGAAGCTCCCTCTGGCAATTGGCCCCTTACAGCCTTCCCTTCTTCCCAAGGGAGTGGTGGGAGCCCCGGCACCCAGCCCCCTGCGGTTGACACTAGATTCGCAGCCAGAGAAGGAGAGAGACTAGCTGCTGGAAGACGAAATGGGGAAAGGAAGCCGGGGCCGGTCCTGGCAGCAGTGGAGCGGCTGGGAGCATCTCGGCTGGGAGCATCTTCTACCCCATGACCTCTCGGATCCAGGGGAGATAGCTGGCGACGCGGGCGTAGACTCCAGGAGGGGATTTTTTGCCAAAGGAGACGATGCCTTCAGCCACCCCTCTGCAGACCAGAGGACCACCAGAATCGCCCTGGAGAATGGAGCTGGGGTCAGGCAGGGCCGGGAGAGCATCTGCAGGCTCCCCGCCTGGGGAGCCAAGTCCATCCCTGGCCTAACTCCCATGCACTTGCAGCAGGGATGAATGTCTACCCTACTGCGCCCGCTGCTCTGCTCACCCCATCGCAGCAGCCCCGAGTCACGGGCACTGTCCAGATGGGTCTAGACAGGCTCAGCACCAGCTCGTACCCCTCCAAGCAGCAAGACTGAGGCCTGCAGGGTGATACCCCAGCCAAGGAGCGAGCCGAATGATTGCACCCCTAAGAGCCCCTGAGAGGGGGACCAGTACCCATCTCACGTTGGCACTGACCAGGCAGGTGTCCTTGACCTGGTGGGGGCTGCCGGCACAGATCATGCCATCGTCGAGAAAGGGGTAGAACTCGAGGCACTTCTGGCGGTTGTATATGGTGATGTTGGTCTCGTAGAGCTTGTCACTGGTCTGCTCCTCGTTGATGAGGCCCCAGCCCGCCACGAGGCACTCGGTCCCTGTGGGCACGTCGCTGCTGGTCTTGGGCAGGGAGATGGTCTGCACGTACTGGTTCAGGACAGCCTCCTCCGTGAGCTGCGGGAGGGAGCTGAGCTGGGCTTGGGCCGTGAAGGGACAGGGCACCAAGCACCCCAGGGATGCTCTCCTCTGCTTGGCGTTCTGCGGGGTCGGACTCCCAGCCCTCAAGCAAAGTGGTTTGGAGGGACATGGGACAGTGGTGTCCACCCTGGTGGGCACAGCTGAGACCCTCCTCCTCCCCACCCCGCAGCAGGATGATGCCGTCCCTGCGCTTTCTCTGGCTGGATTATCTCCATCTAATTTTGCCAGACGAGCTAGGTGAGGGACAGGGCGGGGGAATGCCTTTCTCCCCCCAGCAGAAGCAGCCGGCAGATGCCTGAAGTCCTCCCGCATCGCCCCCCTGGGCCAGGGCTCGTGTGCACAGCGTGGCCAGCCATTACCTTGAGCAGCAAGATGTCGTTGGAGAACATCTCGTCCTCGTATTCAGGGTGGATGTGGTAGCTCTCCACCCCCAGCTCCTGCTGCGACTCTTCCGCCTTCCTGATGTCGTGAGCTCCCAGGAGGACGGTGATTTCCCTGCAGTCGGTGGGAAAGAGCACAGATCGCTTCCTCTGCTTGCCCCAGCTCCCCCACCACCCTGTATCTGCTGCTTTCCCCCAGCCCTAGAAGAGCCTGGCTTGGAGATCAGCAGCCCGACGCGGGAGCCTGGGGAAGGGACTTACCCGAAGCAGTGAGCGGCGGTCATCACCCACTGCGGGGCCACCAGGAAGCCCCCGCACGACATGTTGGAGCTTACCTTCAGATAAGCCATGTAGGGCCTGGAGTGGGGGATGGCTTCTTGCCCTCCTATGATCCAGCTCCGCAAAACTCCTGCAAGATGCGTGCCGTGAGGACACAGCCCTTCCTACCGCCCCCGGCACAAGCAGCCAGCCCAGCCCGTGCCTCCCTCCATGTACCAGCGTGAGCCACGGGGCAGGACAGCAGGGAGAGCAAGAGGAGACCCAGGTGTTTCTCCATCTCTAGGTGTGGTTGGCTCTCTTCTGGGCAGCGGCTGGAGCCCTCTATGGTCCGGCAGCTGGTTTTATAGCCCCTGACCAACCAAACTTGGAAGCCGGTAAACCACTGGACACGTGGCTGAGGAACCAGTGCTGCCTTTGTCTCCCCACGCCCACGAAACCTCGTCTGGGCCCGTGGCTCTGCTCGATGCTGGGGGAGGCTGTCTTTGCTACCTAAGCACCGGGGACGGCTGGTGAGTCTATCAGGAGAAAGTCTGGAACTCCCCCAAGACTCTCCAAACTTCAGTTGTTACCAAAAACCTGATACTGTTCGGTCTTCTGGGAGACCAGACTGCAGCCCATCTGCTATTGGGACCCTGGCCGTCGTAGATGCAAATTAAGGGGACAGTTGCAATTCCCCTAACGATCTCTGTGGGCTAAATCAAGACACAATTACACTTAGAAGCATCGTAAATGAAGGTTGAAAGGGACCTCAGGAGGTCACATTTAATCCAACCCCCTGCTCCAAGCAGGACCATCCCCAGCTGGATCATCCTGGCCAGGGATCTGTCTAGCTGCGTCTTAGAAACCTCCAAGGATGGAGAGTCCACCGCCTCTCTGGGTAGCCTGTTCCACTGGTTTACCACCCTCCTCCTAAGAGAGTTTTTCCAAATACTAACCTGAACTCCCCTTGCTACAACTTGAGACCAGTGCTCCTCCATTCCCTCTTAGCAGGCAAGCGATTGATGAGAAAAAGTACTGGGGCAAGCACAACTAAAGTTAAGCCCTAATAAGGAGCATAAGTAAAGGCCGAAAAACAAAGGGGCCTTGAGATAAACTTATCGGGAGACAGCTGGAGAAAACTCATTTAGTCTAGCTGGACTCCAGGGTGATTTATTGTCAGACTACCAAGAAGGTATTCAGGGGAGGCTTCTGTGTGTCTTTTTCTCACACGTATATAACAGCGTCTGTGTCCTGCGGCTGCAGAGATTTAGCCGCCCTTGCTGCTTCTCCCGTTAGCCAAGCAGGGATCCTGTCGTGATTTCCACATCACCTTGGGGCTCAGTCCGGGATGTGGCTTCACACAAACCGCCCTGCGTAGGACCCGCGTCTCGGCTCTTCGACTCCGTCCCTCCGAGAAGGCTCTCCTCGACCCGGCTGATGCAGCTAGCTAGGAGTCTGCTGGCAAATGCCAGCTCATTAGCTCGAGCTGTACTGTCTTGTGCTCAGGAGGTGTCCAGGGTGACGAGCGAGTGGGTGGCCGTCAGGCAGGCAGGTTTGGGCGCTGATCATCCCCCGGCTC